TTCCATTTTTTAAAATAACTTGTTCTGTCTCTGAGAAGTAACCCTTTAGTAGACATTGGAGAAGCAGCCTCCTATTTGCAAGGCTCATGTGATTGATCTGAAACAATGATGGTCTGCATCCAGAATGGCAGCCCTCCAACAGGGGAGGGTAACAACGTCAAATAAATAAAAATAAATCCAAAAAGAAGCCAAGACACCCTCTCTGGACACAGTCAGTCACAGACAGCTGTTATGCCCTCAGAAGATTTTTTTTTTTTAAATTCCAGATTTCTCTGATGGGCCAATACAAGGCATTGCCTGACAAAGGACCATCAGCCTGCTTTACAAATGCCCAAGTTCTGAAACTCTTATCCCAGAGCAAGCCTGAAATTCTCCCTGGAACACAGGGGGTGCACAGGAGACATGGATTTTGCAAACCTCAGTGGCCCTTTGGCAGCTGTGGGGGGGTCACACACGCCAGGGCTCAGAGATTTGGGGTAGCACCAGGCCTGCTGCTGCTGTGGCTGACCTTGGCATGCCCAGGATCCTGGTGGCTTTTCCTGCCCCCTGCCCTGGCAGCAGGGACACAGGGACAGGCTCATCCATCCCTCCCAAAGGCAGCTGCAGCCCCAGCAGAGGGGCACGGGGGGGACAGTGCAGAGCTGCAGTGGTGACAGCAGGGCAGGCAAAGTCACACACCTGCCCCAGGAGCAGCTGCCTCCCTGCTCTGCCCGTATGGAAATGCACTTCCACAATGGGTCACTTACAAAGGAACGTAGGTTTAATTTTTGAATTTTGCACACACAGATCCAGGCAGAAGCTTCCAGCTGACACAGAATGTTGCATAATTTCCAGAAGATTTATAGCTTTATTTAAATCATTTTCAACCAAGATGAGCATTGGGCAGGGCTAATCTTTCTTGTCATGAAGTGCTAAATTGCTTTGATTTGATGATCCTCATCTTTCTTGGGGATTCTTTTTTTTTAAAAATCACTTAGGAAATGTCACTGGAACATAGTAAAGTTTCAGGGTACTAAAGGATTTCCAAAACTTTTTTCCTTTTCTCATGTGTCACTGAACCACTGTCTCTGCACATTGCAGCAAAGTCTTCAAGGGTTGGGGTGTTCCTAGGGCTTGGACTCCACCAGAGGGATTCAATTCCCAATGGAAAGCAGCATGGACACAGGGAACCTCATGGCATCACCCCCCTGACCCACGCAGGAGCTGGTGCCTCTCCCATGGCCAATAAAGCAAACCACCACCCTGGAGAGCTCCTGCTGAAGCAGCACACCAGAGCTGCAGCTCGGAGCTCGGGGGCTTTGGTCTGGCTCCCTCCCTTCAGATGCCCTTTCTGCTCCTTGCCACTGGCGTGGGGCAGAGCAGCAGCTCTGTGTGCCCACGGAGGCCTCCACGGGGCTGGCTGGGCTTGCCTGGCACAGCCTCCCAAAGGGATGGGGAGGGAGGCAGATGGGACCTTGGAAGTGCTGCCTGAGGCCACCGTGTCCAAGGGCAGGGGAGCAGGAGGGAGCTTGTGCTGGGTCCTGGGGAGCCCTGTGGCTCTGCCCCCACCTGCAGAGTCACCCCAGGCACTGTGTGCCCGTGTCCCCCCTTGGTTTGCTCCTGCCAGCACCCACAGAGCTGGGCGTGCCTGGCTCTCAGTGCCACCAAGTGATGCTGTGGGGCTGCAGCTGCAGCACCTCAGAGCTCTCAGGGTGGGCTCAGAGCAGCCCAGGTGGGCTTGGTGCACCAAGAGGAGCCACTGAAGCCATGCCTCAGACACAGGGAGAACATGCCAGCCCCAGCACACAGCGGGTGGAATTGCCAATCCATCAGCCTGGCTGGGTGAGCCCTGACCCCTGGGGAGCTGCACAGCACTCGGTGCTCTGTGGGCTGTTCCCCTCCCTTTTCTCCATCACAGTCTCCTTGGAAAAGGGAGTTTGCAAGAACTCAGCAAAGTTTTCCTTTTGTTGTTTGTAAACTAGAATAAATCCTTCTGTTCCAAAATGCCATCTGGCACCTGACAGTTGTGTTTCAGCTTCACAGTCTCAAATTTAATTGTAAGCTCTTTTGCAGGGTTTTCAAGGACGGCGTGACACAATATGGACTACCTACAATGAAGACATATGAACTCTGGAGCACACCAAACAAATTCCTTGCATACTTGTTTTCCAGCACAGCATCAATCACCACAGGGATGGGAGAGTGTCCAAAACAGCAGGAGAAAATGCTACAGCTTGCAGTTCTCAGATTGTAATTCATTTAAAGCCAGGAACATTAGCCGTACCACTCTAACATCAGATACAAATCTCTTTTCTCCTTTTGCCCATTTACTATCTCCAAAGCATTGAGATTCAATATTTAAAGTTGTCCAGTGTAGATCCTCAGCTGGTGCAAAGTAACATAACTGTGCTCAACATCTGTTCCTGGTCTTTGAAGGCAATGGAGCTGTGGTGATTTACATCTGCTGAGGTATGATCTATCACTGTATTTCCTCGGCTTTTTCTTTGCTGCCTTGTTTTTCTGCTCTTTTTGCTTGACAAAACAAATGACACAATTCCTAGCTCTTGTACCGTGTCTTTCATCATTCCTCCCCCAAGCACTGCAGTTAAGGATGAGCAGAACCAGCCCCATGTGAGTCTTAGGGGAGAAACATCCGAGGCTCAGGAAGGGACCAGGAAGCACCAAAGCTCCAGGAATCCTCGTGCAGGACACTCAGCACAGTGTCCCCCTCCCAGCCACTGTCACAGGGACACTCAGGCTCTTCACCACAGGTTTGCCCACTTGCATGCCAAGTAAATAATGGCCAAGCACAAAGGCCAGGTGCCACTTTCTACCCAAAAAGTCAAAGCCTGGCCCATCCACCCTGATCTCCACCTCCTGCCCTTCCTTCCCCAAAGACTTCTGTCTCTGAGCCAGCACAGCACAGCCACAGACTCATTGGAGATGAGGGGCAAACCATGAGAAACCATGTCACCAGAAGTGATGGTCCAAACCCACACCTCTGCTCTTGTCTAGGGCAAAACCTGGGGTGAAGCTGACCCAGGAAAATGAACAATTTTGGTCTCAGTGCTGCCCACTGAGATTTATGCCAGATAGACAGAAACCCAGCAGTGTTGTCTCCTACTTCAGTTAAACCCCTTTGGCTCTTCTCTGAGGAACAAGGGCAGACTTTTGCTGTTCAAATCAGGATAAATCGTAGAAACTGAATGGAATCAGAAAAAAAGAAATGGGGACAGTCTCTCCCATTCCTACTGAGCTATGGAAAGAGGGAATGAGCTACTGCTTAGTGACATGAATTTCCTGGCAGTCCATCCCATTTTCCTTGTGGTGGGAAGATATTGAGGGGCAGGGGGCACATGGAATGGTCACCACAAATATCAGATGATTGATCTGGGTCTCTGTGTCCAGCCTTTCACTGCCACAGGCAGTATCAGTAATTCTTGTTCATATTCTACAACAAAATCTCTTATACAGGGGTCAAGCACTGAGCTCAGCACTATGTGGGGTCCATGGCATACCAAAAGGCTATCCTGAACAACTCTATTGAGAACACTTAACCAAAAAGCCCAGCTGATGTTAGTTCCTGGCCAGTGCTGCCCTTCAGCAAACTCTCCCCATCCCTGGCTCTCCAGAAGTACCTGAGGCAGGGCAGCCACCACTTCTCATCCTTTGTTCCTCTGAGAAAACTGCACACAGCTGCTTCAGACAAAATCCTGCCCTGCCTGACCATACCCTGGCTCTTTGAAGAATGTGTTAAATAAGGTCACTTACATCCAGCACCTATAAACTCACACATTTTAGCAGAAATACTCTGAAAATCTCCCCTGGGGAATCTAAGATCGTAACCTCTCTTTCTCTAATTCTTTTGTACTGGGGTCCATGCTGAAATGCCCCTCCTGGAAGATGTTTGAAATGTTTTCATGCCTCTGAGGTCAGACTAAAAAGCCTGGAGGTGCTGGGGCCAGTTTCTCCATCTCCTGAACTGCTGGTTTGATGCTCACTGTTCACCAGTGCTGTGTTAATGCATCTTATCTTGCTGCTGCTGTGGGCAGGGAGCACTGCACATGTTTAGCTATCGCAGGTCAGATGATAAGTGGGAACTCATTAAACCACAGTAATTAATTGCTGGCAACCATCTGGCCACCCCTGAGCAGTCATGAACAACGTAAGCAGCAGAACTAATGGTGCCTCCTTGCCAGTATTTCTCTCTCCCATGTGGATCCTCTGATAGCTAATAAAAGCTGAGAGTTTATCTCCAAGCAGACACAAAGCCAGCCTCTCTCCCTCCTCCTCTCCCCTATCTGAGCACCTGCTTTCATGTAATCTTCAGGAGCTGGGTCTCTTTGACACCTATAACATTCCATCAAACATTGATGGAGCTGGTTAATGCTTTACAAGTTATGAGGAAGCAACAGATTGATGCCATCACAGCATTTTCTCTCTCATGCAGTTAGATAGGAAAAAAATAGGACTTTTTAATCTATCCAGTAACCTTTGCTGAGAGGTAGGTGGCAGTTTTGTTATATTGGCAGCTGCTTTAAAACTTGGGACTGGGAAGAGTTGGTTTAAGGTTTTATAATATAAAACCTCCCAACTCTGCACCATTTTAATGTTCTAAGTAAAAGAAAGTTGCTCTTCCCTCTAAGTTATTAAATTTAATTGAGATCACATTGGGACAAAATGTTATTTTCCTAAATGCCCATGTTGCAAAAGATATTAATCTAGTTTGCCTGCAAGATTGATGCTGGCTCTGCTGAAGCAGGCTAGATGCTACAATTAGATAGATTTAATTCCTCCTCAGCAGTGCTCTGTAATGTGATTTCATCTCCTTCCCCTTCTTCTTTTCTTTCTATTCCAGTTATGATGGGCTGTGGTGTCTGCCCAGCTCTGGGCACAGCATGGGAACTCACACTCAATTTGAAGCACTCGGGGCTCAGCAGCATTAACACTCTGTGATCTGGGGAATAGGGAGAGCTGAGGAGCAAGGGCTTCTTGGCAGCATGTGCATCACACACCATTTCCTAGCCACTGCAGGAGCAGGAAAGGGCAGATCTTGGGGAATTTTGGTACCCAGATGGGGGCACAGCTGGTCCCCTGTCCTGCTCCCCACAGGACGGGGTGCTATAAATGAACTCCATGATCATCCGAACCAGAACCAGACCAACAGCAAGCCCAGCCACGAGGCCCTAGAAAGCACCCTGAGAAAGGGCAAGCACAGAGAAAAGGTCACTGCAAATTGCCTCTGGCTGTGGTTTTCCCTCTCCTCTCCCTCTTTCCCAAAACTTTTTATGCTTGATGGAAACCCACACTGAGGTGCATCAAAGGAGAATTTTTTCAAGGAAAAAAACCTCATTTTCTCTCGTTGCCCTTGAGCATGGAGCACGCAGACCAAAACTAATGCAAGAATCTGCCCCTAACACTCCTCCAATGAGACTTTGACAAATCATCCCTAAATGGCAGAACAACTTCCCTTTCATGCTTTCAAATGGGACTGCCAAAAAGTGCCACTTGCAGTGACTTCTTAGAAGCAAACCCACAGCCACTAGAGACTGGGCTAAGATCCACCCATGCCAGGAAATCCTGTCTGATTGTCACTCTTGAGGTGGACTGGCTCTGAGTTTAAAGAGTCTCAAAGGCTAAGTACTGAGGGAAGAGATATTTATTTATTTTATCAAAATAAATACATGTATCAACTGGTTGTTGACATTTCACTTACAGGCTCATTAATCCTCTTGCAGAAGATTGCCAAGATGAAGAGGGCTGTGACTGGTGGGCACAGATAGCTGGTTATGGGCTGAATGTAGGCAAAGAGCTTTCCACTGTTGGCTGACTGAACAACTGGGATCCAGAGAATGCTGATGACCACAAGGATAAGGGTGAGCACTCTGAAAGAGAAGGATAAAATTGTATTAATTCTGTAGGTAGTTTTGCAGGAAAAGACACTCCCAGTTGGTCTTGGAATTTTGTAAGAAAAAATCCACAGGTCACTCTCAAGAACCTTTCCTTGTGCACACAGGTGTGTCACAAAGTGTGACGTGGTCTTCAATGACCTTGCTCGTGGATATGACAGAAAGAGGGAGCTGGTAGCTTGTGAAGGCAATCTTTCTGCCATATTTCTAGGCAGGTAGTGTACTCAGTCTCTTGCCTTTGCCAAATTCCAACTCATTTGCTGCTTATTAAAATTGTGTTTGGGGTCTCAGGTGAATATTGTAATCTTCCTCTGCCTTTGCACTCTGTGCCACAGAGGTTTGTCCTTACTGCTGAACAAGAGGTGCTTGTCCTCTGCCCACTCTGCCATGCTGAAGTGTGAGCTTGCCTGCAGCCTTCATCCACACCCCAGCAAAGTTTAGACCTTAATGCTCATGACTGGAGAGCAAAACCTCCACACTGAATGCTGCCCAAATTCCCCTGTCTGGAGGAGAACTGTATAGGCCCCTTACATAACACAGCAGCAAAGCTTATCTGCAAAGGACACTACAACTTGTCACAGAGACAGAAAGCAGGGAGGCTCAGCTCTGCACTTTTCCCTGAAGAAAAGACAGGGGGAAAAAGTAATTGCAACATATCACTCCTGTCTGATGCAAAAATAACACTTTTATAGACCTCTGGTGACAAAGACTCAAGAACACTTATGGCTTTTCTAAAAGTTACGTTTAAAGCAGTATTTTTAATAAGTTTAGAGAGAAGAGAGGCAATTATCTGCTTAGCTCATTGGAACATTCAGAGTTTCTCCTTGACCAGGCCTATCCAGGATGAAGCTGGAAAACACAACGCTCTTTCCCAAGCCGTGCTCCTGCTCTATATTGCATGCACCAGATTTTTCTCAGTGAGTGCAGCCTGGAGGATGTAAAAGCTGCTCTCAGAACAGATGATGAGAGGAACGAGACATAAATAAATGCAAGGACCTGCCCACAACCATCAGCTGCTGCTCGGAGGCCTGCCTGCAGAGCCGCTGCCAGATGTCCACGACGAAGAGGGTGCTGCTGCTGTTGGAAACGGAGGTGAGGGAACCCATCAGGGCTGCCATCATCACTGCAATCATCAAACCCCAGAGCCCTGCGGGAGCCAGACACAGGAGGGGAATCAGGACTGGCCCCAGGGCCTCTGAGTGATGTTTTTTCCATCCTGATATGGTATCTGCAGTAAGATTTCCACATCCTTGGGACGGGTGAGGGCAGCCTGGTCCCCCCGCGCAGATCCTGGCTCAAGCCCAGCTCCACACGGGCGTTCCTCACCATCAGGCATGAGCTCAGTGACCAGTGTGGGGTAGGCAATGTTGGAACAACCCACAGCAGCTCCACAGATCCTTTTGCAGATGTCTGGGTCCACGCAGCCCACTTCATGTGTGGAACACAGGGAAACAACAAGGAGTCAGTGCAAACCCCAGTTCAGATCAAGGGAACAAATCCTGATGCCTTGTGCAGTTTCCTATAAATTCAGAGTGAAATACAGCTACAATGAGTGGAGCTAGAAAATGCTTTATATCATATAATAGAGGTGAAACTTTGAGATGACATTTTCAAATTCTGTTCAGGATACAGCTGAAACTCTCCTGGGTGTTGCATAACTGTAATCCTTGATGATTTGTCACTTGTGGGAACTGGACTGTTTCCATGAACCTGTCAGCTGGGCTCCCAGGGATGCTGGAGACTCACTTACTCTTATTTAGGAAATCTGGGAAACAGGCTCTTTCCTCTGGGAGTGGTCCTTCTAACCAAGTTATTCCTCCTGGAAAGAGGAATGCTCTGGAGAAACCAGCAATGAGAGCTCCTTGGGATATAAGGGAGGCTCATTTAGCCTAATCCACCAGGACCTAAATGAACCTGTGTGGTAGGTTGCTAAAACACTCCAAAATACCTAATGGATGTAATCCATAGGATCTGAAGGACAGCCTCAGTGCTCCATTAATTTAATTTCACTGACTCCCTCCAGACAGACAGAAGAATGCAATGTCCACAGCATGGAGCTCTATGCCCCCAGTGGCAAAGTATGCCTCTTATGGCTGCTCCTGGTGATTTCTGCCAGTGTGGGAGAGTTGGAGGTGGAGAGAGGGCTTGGGAACACCATGGTGCAGCAGGAATCTCTATGAACATGCCTGTAGGACAGCAGTTTCTAAGGTGTAAAAGTGCTGGTGGACCTGTGTGGGATTAGTGGTCACAGCAGGTATGGAGCCCCATGTCAGGGAAGATGGGAAGGCTTACCTGGGAAAAGAGCTCTGCTGATCATCCCTGGCATGACACGGAAAAACACAGGGAAGAGTTTCAGATATCCTACCAGCACAGATCCACCTTTGGCATGGGAGAGGTTCTTGGCAGAAAGAGACCTCTGGACCATCACCTGCAACCAGTGCAGAAAGGGAGCAGAGAATGAAACAGAAGCACAGCAGAGAGAGCAGGATCCATTCTCTCTGTCTCTCCTTCTCAGGGATGACTTTCATCCCACAGCATCCCACAGTGTTTTGCATGCCAAGGACAGCTTTCCCACCTCACTGACTGCAGCCTGCTGCCACCACTCAGAGCTCAGTCCACAGGCTACAGGAGAGGGCAGCGTGGAAATTTCCTTTACAGGAATAATTTCACCCTTGACTGAAATGAAGCCACCTTGAGGGCTGGAGACAGCAGCTGTATGGCAGCAAGAGACACGGAAAGAAGCAGACTCTGGGTGTTTTGGTAAAAGCTCAGTAGTGGGGTTTCATAATTATCCCATCTGAAAGTACAGAAGCACCATGTCTCAAGGAACACACGCAGCTTTGTAGCTTGCAGAGGAATAAGGGACACGAGACATCTGGGAATATGAATGGAGGAATATTGTCTGGAGGTCTGCTCAAGGTCACAGCACAGCCAGCACCAGATCCACATTTTTATATCCTTGTCATGCTAACTGCATGAAGATTCCCAGTACTCACCAGCCCACAGTGGGATAAAGATGGATAAAACAACCTGTTCTCACTGTACTAAGAAGTGCATAAAATTAGCAGCTTGCTGAGAAGGTGGAAGGAGTGAGACATTCTGGTCTAGACCAGTACAAAAAGTAGGAACTCCTGCATACTGAGGCACACTGATTTTTCAGCTTACAGATCCACAGACTGAGGAGTGGACCAAAAATAACACTGTGGGGGTTTGTCTGCTGAGGGAAAGATTTTATTTACCTGGTCAGTGCACCAGCATCAAGGAGCCACCACCGTGAGACCAAATATAAGGCCAGGCCAGGGAATGTCTCCTGTGATGGGATCCCTGAAAAAATGAAAGGCATCTGCATGTGGGAGGTGACAGTTTGTGTTTGGGACTGTGATCTTTGGTATTGCTGTGCTGTATTTCTCCTTAAGTCCTTCATACCAGCCATCTTTTTCAAATCCTGTAAAGGAAATGCCAGTGATTTAAGAGCTGTTGCATCATGCAAAGTTATTATCTAATCTGAGTCTTGTGATTACTTTTCTTTTATCTTCCTCTTATCTCCTTTACTTTTCATTCCATCCTTGCTTTTTGCAGTCAAAGTTTCTACAGAAGTCAGCTGGATTTTGCCCAGAGTCCTTGTGGTTTCAACAATACATTCTGGAAGAGGATCAATGCAGGAAAACCTTGATGATCCTAATCCCTGCAATGTCATCAGCACCTAGTTTTACTTATACACCTTCCAAGAGCTAGAGCAGGAAAATATAACATGAAAAAAGATATACTTAGTTTAGATGGTTTTGTTTGCCAATAAAGCTTAAAACAAAGGATGATAATGGTCATTTCCTTGTCACTCCTTATTTTTTATAACACTCAGCTGCACCCACATGAACTCCAAAAGTCAACAGAGGAAGTCAGCAAGGTTACTTTGAATTGGGCTTAATGAGAGCTGAATTTGGCTCTGAGAATGTGATGTTCCAAAGTTCTTTGGCAACCCAGTGAGGTGAAGATATCCAGAGCCTCATCTCCATACAGTTAGTGCAAAGGATGAAGAAAGTATGCTGTCTTGGAGAATGAGATTTGTGCTGGCACCACTTCTGTGAGTGGCTAGAACTCATTTCTGCACCACATGTGAAAGGGTGAGGCACCCTGCTAAGGTCTAGAGGCTTCTGCAGGTTCCCCCTACCTACGAACATGAGGACCAAAGCTCCCAGCACCATGATCAGGGTCTGCAGCACATCTGTGTAAATCACAGCAGCCAAACCCCCTGCCAGGAGAACCAGACACAGCAGTCAGTGTGTCACCATGCACAGGGAAACAGGTATCTCACCTGGAATAAAGCTTTCTTTGGCCCCAGCCCTGTGATTTTCGGGCCGGCCCACTGGGAGAAGCTGGCACTGAGCTGGTCCTCTGGAGCCCACAGCTGTCTCAAGCCCTCCCACGAGGAACAGTGTGGAAGGTTTTCCATGTTCATGTGAGAATTTGGAGGCAGCTCAGTATCTTAACAGCCTAAGCTGCTAATTTTGCAGAAAGGGAACAAAACTGCAAATATGGGCAGTGGTAACTTCCTGCACGGAGGCAGCCAAGAACCTTGTGCAGTGTTAGGAAATCCTCCAAAAATAGTGATGTTCCCCCTGTACCACTTTCCTGTGGGCCAAGAGGGGAGAGAGGGAAGAGTCAAAGGTCTCCAACAGCTGGCAGTGACAAGGCAGGTACTACCAGCAACTGGGGCAATCTCTCCCTCAGACCAGGACCTGAATACTCTTTCCCCTCTGTAGGAAATGGGAAACCTATAATCTAGGCTTTGGTTTATAAAGTGCCTTTTAAAACCAGCTATTTACCAGCTATGGTATAGACAGCAGTCACTGCTAGCAGGATCACAGTGGACAAGTAGAGGTTCCAGCCCAAAGCAGTTTGGATGAACAATCCTCCAGCAAAAATGTCTGTCTGGAATAAAAAAAAACCAAGGGCAGTCTGGCATTAGTAGTGCTTTGTGCAAGTAAAATCTAATAAAGCAGCCTGCAGCTGAAAGCATTGACAGGGGAGGACACCAGCAAGGTGAACTGGAAGGGGAGGAGAAGAGCTGTTGGGACTCTTGGCTCTGAACCTTGTTTTGCTGTAAGGAAAACTTTCCTCCAGGTCAGAGCTTTCAGGATCCGGGAGAGCAGGAGGGTGAAAATTAAGGTGCTACACCAAGGGACTAAAAAGTCATCAAAATAAAGACCATGAGCCATCGAATCCTGGCTGGCACAGAGAAGGACTGGTGTAAACTTTCACCTCTTTTGGTGACTTGAACACATCCCTGGATAGCAGAGACCATGTACCCACAGGCAAACACAGGAGGAAAAGAGGAGATAGCAGAGACCTTGTTCTTCCCAGGGCTATCTCTTAGTGGCCTCATGGTCCAGAGACACTCCCTCTTGAAAGACTCCTAAGGAGTCACTGATATCTTGTACCATGATTTGTTCATCTGAGATGGTCAACAGGTGGTTTTTCTGTTCATGCAGTTCAATATATTAGAGTGACTCCAGAAAAACAGATTATACCTGCTGAGGACATCACTAGAAATACAGAAAACCCCATCAGCTTCTGTATGGGATCTTCTGGCAGAGTGACACCAGAAACTGGGTGAAACCTGGAATTACACAGATAACATCATTCAAAACTGCAGAAGGTGATATGGGAGATGTTTATGTTGGGAAAGCAGGGTGGAAGAACACCTGCGAGTCTGGTATGGGGTGAGACACAGGTAAAGACCTTTGCCAAGGGAGACAGAAGGGATGGGGCAAGAATTCCATTTGCTGTGTCTGAAATGGGCACCTTAAAAGCAAGGAGCCAGTGCAGCCCCTGACACAACAGGCACAGCCAATACTCCACAGGAATCCCTGTCCCTTCTGGGGTTTGGCTTCCCAGCAGGAAACACAACCACCTCTAGAGCCATGCAGGACCAATCCTCCGACAACACTGCTTATTGAGATCTCTGTTTGCTTTGCAAGCCAAGAAGACTCTGCAGTGCCCTGGTTGTTGACCTATGTTTGGGCAGAAAGCAGAGGGAGAAAAATCCTTCTTGTAACCAAGAGCCTGCTGTCCAGCCAGCCGCTAAATGAGCTCTCCACAAACAATAGCTCTGCTTAATAGAAAGCACCTGTCATGGCCATAAACTCCCCCAGCCACATCCGTCAGCCACGCGTGAATTGGCTGCGCAGAGGAGAAACCGCTGAGACGAAACAGCCGTGATGGGGGCCAGGGTCCTGCTCTGAAAAGCACTGGCAAATGCTGCTCTGCTGAAGGTCACTCTGAAAGACAGCTCTGTTTCATACCTTGTCTGTGTGGCTGTGCTCACTGTGGGCTGCTGCAGGAGAGAGTTGCCATTTATCCCTCACAGGTAAAGAGGCTTTAAGTGTCTTTTTGCAAGACCTCACTCATTCTGTCACCCAGGGCTATGCTCCGGTCCCACAGAGCAAAGCTGGAGGCAGTGGTGACAGCAGTGGGTGACGTGACCAAGAGCTGCCCATTAGAGGGGGAAACCTATCCCACACTCCCAGCCTGGAACTCAGTGCTCCTCCCAGGAGCTGAGGTATAATGAGCCCGGGAGAAGGACCTTGAAGTTACATGAGTGTTTTATCTCCAGTCAGTGTCTCCCAAGGCAATTTGACATCTGAATATTTCAGAAGGGTCTAGTGAAAACTGGCCCTTGTACTGACCTTGAGATAATCAGCTGGAGACAAAGGACTGACATCTTCAGTCCCTGTAATGGACTCTCAAATACACTTCTCTCCTTCCAAGGGCACAGGTGGTTCTTAGTAAATATCTGAGCATAATTTCTGCTTCTTTGTGAATGGCATTTGAAAGGGGGAAATAGCCAGTATACCCAGTACACTGGGTTTTGGCTACCAGCAGGGAACAATGTTACAAGCAATTCAGAAAAGATGCTGCATTTTGTCTTAAGTCAGAATCTACCTCTCTTTCACTGTTCCCTTTTTGTGCAACAAAGTAAGAAAGAAAGAGGAACAACCATAAAATACCTAATGCTGAAAACTCAACTACAAGAACAACAGCAGGTTTATGATAATTTAAGAAAATTTCATCTCTCTACAAGATGCAGCCAGCCATATTTTCACATGGGGTAATGCAGCCCTTCTTCTATCTCTGATGCCTAAGGTTTGATGTGATGGAAGAGGAAAAGCAGGCAGACAGCCCACGGTACTTACACTGTTTAGTAATTAGTTGCACATCCCTGTAAAGTTCTTACTGTGCATTGCTGTTTAATGAGGGCTCTGTCTCTCTCTTAGGAAAGGTCTCCATGATCAATACAGAGGCAAGAGCAGCACACTAACACACTGCAGCTGTTCCTGGGAGGAGGGCTGATCCTTTCAAGGAGCTCTCTCTGAGCAGCCCCTGCCTTGTACCACGATGCCCTATCCCTGCCCTAGACAGGAGAGTGGATACATACAGATATTCTGGTGGATATATAGAGAATCAGGGACAGCACAGACATGTAGAATTGTAGCCTCTGCCCTCCAAACCTCTTCTTCAGGTACTCAGGCATGGTGACAACTCCTGCTGTGATGTAAACTGGCACGAAGATCCAGCCGAGAGCCAGCAGTGGCCAGATGGCCTGTTAAAGAGACAGAGAATAAAGGCACAGGATTCAACACATGGGAACAGCTTTTCGCCCTGTTCTGTCAGTGGCCAGCCTAAAAAAGCAGAAAGGTTCAGTGCCATTTGATGTATTTCAGCAGCAGACTGACTTTTTCCTCCCTGCTCAGAAGATGAGCCAGCAGCTGGAGGAATTACTACAATTTGGTCAAAAGCTTTTAAAGATCTCCTCCTAAGGCCTCTATTTCTCTCTGTCATGGGTGTCACTCCCTCTTCCATCCCCTGGTATTTTGAGCAAAATCTGCTGCTCTGGTTCTCTGAAAGATGGTGGTGTATTTGGTGGTCTTTGAAACCACTGATGCTGTGGCAGTGAAGAGTTAAGTGATTCAGAGCAGGATGGGAGCATCTGTTTGTTGCTCGATTAGCAAGTGATGAGGCTGAGGCAGCAGACTGTCCCTGCGGAGCATAAAAATAAGCAACAGCAAGACTCTGCTGGGATGTTCTCCTTGCAGGCTGGTGCAGATGTTCTTCTGTCACTGATAGATAAAGAGGCATTTTAGTTGCTTTGCCACAGGTGAAGAGTGTTTTGGAAAATGTAAAGGCATTCCTCATGTATTTCTTCTCCAATTCCCAGCAAAAGCCCAAACAGGAGAACTTAAAGGTAAATGAAAGCCATTGGATCATCAAACCTCCCCTCCTGGTTGTCTCCAGCTACTATCTGTCATCTTATATTTATTTTGATCAGTTATTTAAGTTTTCAGAAAAAAACCTGATCCCTGTGAGCAGTGTTTTTAACTGATTGAGAGCAGCCGTGGCTCCTGCAGTGGCAGAGACTGGCTGTGGTGAAAGATGCTCCTATGATCCTTCCAGCTGAATGATGTCCCATGGCACAGGGAGAGAGTAATGGCATATGTAAGTTCTCTTTCCAATCTGAAATAAATTAATCTGAACTCATGAAGTTAGATTTGCCCTGAAACACAATCTTGTTTTCATGAGCTTTTAAAGTGACTTTAATAGATTTCCTTTGAGTGCATCAATATTATGTCCTCCATGCACGAGGCTGAACACAGTCTCTATTTTCATCACAAAGGATTTAAAGATTACCTTAACGGTCTAGAAAAAAACATTGCAGTGAATACATACCCCAGGAGAGAGTTTTTGGTGAGCCCTGCCTGTGCTTGGCACTACTAACACTCTGCTGAGGTAGGCAAGAGATTCAGAGTAAGGTGAGTGATGCTGGCACTAATCTCAGTCCTCATCAGCTGAGAAATTTCATTAGCACCACACACCAAGGGCCTGGTTTTCATGCTCTTGTGCAGTGTCAGTGGCAATTTTCCAGGCCACTTCAACAGGGCAGATTGAGACCTGCCTTCACACCCAGGTGTTCACCCCAGAGATGCCACGTTTTGGCAGCTGCCAGGTGAAGAGAGTGTTGCTGATTTTCATGGTTTTACAGAGAATATGGGAGCACATGCTGCTTCTTTTTGCTTTTTTTCAGCTCCCTGCACCCAGAATCCTGTTATTACCCAGTACCTTTCCAGTATTCATTATCCTTTATTTTAATCTTCACAAATGCAGACTAAAGCTAAAAAATAAGGCCATGCAGCACTGGGAAGGCCAAAGAGTGAATAATTCTAGTGAGTTCCACTTAAACTAAAATAAAGATCTCATGTTTCCAAGGCTGTCGAAATGTCTGCAGGCTTCTCTCCTGAGAGTTGAGTACTTGTTGCTGCTGATACTGTTAAACACCTGATTTTGGAGAGAACCCCCAATCTGTCTGTAGACAGTGACATCTTAGTTGACAACAGAAGTGACACTTACATTCCACTCGAAGCCCCCAACCATGAGGGCTCCAGCTGCTGCCGTGCCCACCAGGCCGATGAACGAACCACTGCCCACATCCATCAACATCAGGGATGCTCCAATCTGGAACACAGGGATCAAGCTGACAAAGTCACTCTGAGGAACTCCTCTGTCAACCCAAGCATTTCCCCAGAAAGGCTCTTTCCCCACATCTCCTTGTGGTTATGCAGCTGGGTGCTGATGGAGAGTTGGGTTTTCCTTCATCCATCCTTCCCAACACTTCACCTTTTGAAAAATGCTACATTTTTATATCTAAAAGCACGTTCCTGCTCCCTTCCACTGCCCCCACCCCAGTGCAAGGCTTAATCTCAGAATCAGGGCTCACTTTGCCAGTGGTTCTCCTGAGAAGCTGAGAACCTGTTACAGGGGCACAGCAGAGGGAGGGGAGTCTGGTGTCTCCTCAGTGGCCATGAAACGTGGTGATTTCTCCACTCCCCTGTTAGGCAGCCAGCAAGGTGCCAGCTCTGACCCTGCTGACCCTTGTTCTGCCTCCCCATGTCTTGCAATTTAATATCAGGTCTTAGCTGAGGCTATTTAATGCACAGCTGAAACCTGTCACTCTCATAAAAACAATAATAAAATGCAGATAAGCCAGTCATGTACTCAAGGTGAAGGCCACAAGGAGCTCAGCCTGCAGGAGAGCTGCAAAGGTGAAATCAGCTCTGACAAACAAATCTGAGAAGAGAACAGCATTAGAGGCTGCTCTGAACATAAAAGACTTCCGAAGAGGCAAGAGCTGACCTATAACAAACAGCCTCTGTAGCCACCTGTGGTTGGAGCCAAAAGCAGTGAGGATGTTTTGGGATTTGTTTGGGGAATTTTTTTTAATATTAAAAAAAATCAAAACCCACCAGAAATCTTGTTTAAAAGAACAAGACTGAGGAAAAAAATATTCGATTTTACTATCTTTTAATTTCCCCCCTTTTAATTAGAGAAAACCATCAAGCTAATCTTTTGCATTAAATGTTACTTGGCTGAGATAGAAGTTGAAAGAACATTTAAGAAATGACAGATTTTAGAGAGGTGTATGTGTCTCTGGTGGAAGAGGCTGAAAATCTAGCCTAGTGAATTTATGGGCAATGCACAGCCAAAGGAAAAAAAAAGAAAAAACCTGTTTTGGTTGAGAAGTGCATTCCGTTACGCACGACTCACTGGAGATATATGGTTCTAGAGTCTGGCATTGGCTGAGAAGAATCTCTATTCCTGTGGCATTTTCATTCCTTTCCAACTCTAAATTATCTTTATATGTACATTTCACTCCCAAGAAAAGGTACCGTCAATAGATTATTTTTTCCTTCATAGTGAAGATTTATGCTTCAGGGGTTTGAAGTTTATATCCTTTACATCGTTAGTCAATAAACTCAACTCTGCTCTAAATAGCAAGGGCTCAAAGTCCTGGGATTAGGGATTATTTTTAATTCAGTGTCTAAATGCTCTTTACTGGATAACACATTCCTAGATTACCTAATGCTCTCTTGACTTGGGAACTTCAGTGGTGAGTTCAAGCCAAAGTTTCCAACCCAGCTAAGCAGCCAGCATTCCCCAACTTTCATCAATGAGAACATTTTTATTGTGGACTTTAGCAGAGAAACTGAGAGTTGGAAAACCCTGAAGGTGCTGAGCTACCCTTTTGGCCTGGCAGCTCCGTGCTGCAGCCCACTGGCAAAGATGAGTGGGATGATTCCTTATCTGTCCCCTTCATCTCAAGACTACAGTCAGAACATGTAAAGGTTGGGTCTCCTTACCAGACCTGCTCTCACACCTGGCATTGCTTTCAAACCATGAGAAACAGAGAGAAGCATTTCACTCACAGGCCACCAAGACATGGATCGTCCAGCCAGAAAATATCCTCCAACAGTTCCCCGGCTCGCTCGTATTGATGACTGGAAGCACAGGATAAAGAACAGGAAAAAGAACAGGAAAAAGAACAGGAAAAAGAACAGGAAAAAGAACAGGAAAAAGAACAGGAAAAAGTGTTTTCCTCCTTTAACCCTCCTTGAGTCAGACCAAGCCTGGAGAATCCTTAGTGCCTGGCCTCAGCACCAGCTCCAAAATAGTTTTATGGATCTGTTAAGTATGCCAGGCTTCACACACTGCTTCTGCCCCTTTTTGTGCAGGCTTCTGACAGTCGTGCTTTGGAAAGAAGCTGCCTGTACCTGTTTAATGACTTCTCCCTGAATGTACCAACTGGGGAAGAAAAAACAGTTCAGCCAAGCAGAGCGCAGTAGGTGTCTGTGACAGAGGCTTTCACCAAACAACACAGACAAATCATCAGCAACAATCTTTCCAAAGTTTTTAAGGTCTCATTTTAGTCTTCTCCAGCACAACCTTGGCTTTTCTATTGCCTCCTGCCTGTCCACACCCAGATGTGAGACTGCTCTGCAGCACAGGAGTTGAGCATCATTCCCAGAACAACCTCCAGGGAGTGATCCCACAGTTGTCCCCGCGTGGGGTGGAAGTGAAGGCTCACAGAAGGATTCCTGTCACCCCCAAATTTGCTCCACAGGCCCTGAGATAAGTTGTGCAGAGGATGCCATTTGCAGGCAAACCCCTTTGTAGCCAGGAGGAGTCCAGGGGGTATCAAAGCCTCTTGGCTCAGGCAGACCCAAACCTGGCCCCCAAAGGGACTTGCCCGTATCCCAACAGCGAGGAGAAAGGAGAGGTACAGAGCCACCATGGTGATGTCTGCCACTGCAAAGGCTGCTGCCGTGTCCCCTGGCAGCCCAGGCAGCTCCATGGTGGCTGTGATCAGCTGGCTCATGGCCGTGAGCAAAATGGTGATTTTCCCCCTCACACTGGACTTGAGTGCACATTGGGCTTCATCGTCTCCCTTGTAATAATTAACAGGGCCAAGAAGATGTGAGTGGGGAGCAGAGGCCGGGCAGGACTGTGACTAATGTTTCTCAGTAGAGAAAAGGCCTCCATGGCTCATCAGAGAGGGCCACCACACAGACTGTGGTGTAAGGATTCCTCCCATTCCCCCTCATGTCCATTGACCAGTGGTGCTTTCTCCTGCCCATTTATCCATTGGTGACACCCACGGGGATGTAGGAGGTTCTGCTTTGATGTCTGGGCATTGCTTAGAGAAGGCTTGTGCCCCACAGCCAGCACTGGAAGGGCTCTGCCAGCCCCAGTAGGAGCCTTGTGTCCCAGGACATGGGCAGGAAGGAGGAGAGTGCTGGACACCATGACATATCAAACTGTGAACCAGGCCCTCAGCAGGAACATTTCTCATCCTGGTGTGCAGACAAGGTGGGCACCCTCCAGAACGAGCACCCTGAACCAGGTCACACCAAACCTCTCATCCTTTGTTGAGACAGCTTTGGGAGGATCACAGAAGGTTCCTACTGGGGCTGGCAGAGCCCTTCCAGAGTCTTCTCCAGGCAGACCCCAGACCTCAAAGCAGAACCACCTCCTACACCCCCAGCCACCACCCTTTGTGGTCCCTCACCCCATGACATATCACATGGGACATTTTAAACTTAAGTGAGCTGTGCTTGATCTTAGTTTCAAGGGACAAAACAAAACCTCTCCTCTCTCTCTCTTTGCTTTATTCGCCTCTCTCCCAGATTTTTCTTGCAAATGCTGGCTACCTACTTGCTCATTAATTGAGCTGCTAACATGAGGCCCACATCCACCCCTGCTCCCCAGTCTGAGGCTCCCTGGAAGCAGTGCCTCCCTATAGGCTCATTATCCACAAGAGGCTTTTCAAAACTGAAAGGCTTCAACAAGCTGAAGTACAGTTACCAGAAATTAAATATCTGGAAGCCTAAATCCCATGGTATAAACAGGCATCTCTCCCCGCACAGAGCTGATTTACACCCTCCCACACACTTCTTCTTCTTAACACCTCAGCACCTGAAAGCAAAAGACAGTTGCCCAATCCTAAAATGCATTAAATACCTGCCCAAGAAGCAAACACAGCATCTCCAGTCTTCCCAAACCAGGAATTCTTCTCCACCTAGGGCTATCAAGCAGGGGGCAGAAGGCAGCCCCTGAAACTCACATGGTGCTGCTGGGGCCACCTTGTCTCCTTGGCCAGAGACAGCCCCACTGTCACAAGCCCTGCATCCATGGCTTCTCCCAGCCTGCTGTGGTGCCCAGCAGAGGTGTGGGGCAGGCTGCAGAGCTGCAGCAGGTGAACCCTGCAAACCTCACAGTTTCAGCAGCACCTGGGAGCTGCAGCCAGGCAGCCAGAGCCTGCAGCACAGTCAATACACTCTCCTCTCCTTGCAGCAGAAGTGACAGGACGTTTAGTGTCCCCTTGCGGGGTGTTCACCCTCACTCCTGTCACAGGGGTGAACGAGCCCTTCAGGGGTTGGAAATTGTAAGTGGTGTTTCAAAAAGTGCAGCTCAGAAAAAAATACAAGGGTGCTGAAGACCAAGTGTTTCTGGGGCAAAGGATGTTCGGTGGAGTGACAGGCAATTATTTTCACAAAAGTTAACGAATAAATGGGCTTCCTCTTCATTACCAAGCTACTTCACAGTCATCAGCAAATAGTTCCAGTGACAATTAGTGAATTTCTAAATGGATTGAGAAATTGGTCTATACACAGGTACCGATGCAATGAGGTGAGGTGATAGCCCAGCCTTCCTCCTTACCTTTCCTCCTGGGGGATTTTCCTGTGTGCTGAATGGGTGAGGCATTCAGCTAACCATTATTTTCTTCTCAGCTCTTTCTCAGGGGAACGACTCTTGAATGAAATCCAGCAGTTTAATTTTGGTGTGATATGAATGGGCTTTGAATGTATTTAATGTTTAAAGGCAGCTTTTCAGCTCGGAGCCTGCTCCAGAGGAGCTGCGGGAAGCGGAGCAGACCCCGGGGAAGCGCAGTGGTGCTACCACAGCTCTTTTCTTCCCTCTGCAGGCCACACTCTGCTTTTCACTCCTGGACAGTCCCATAAACCTGGAGGCATTCCATCACTCCTTGCACTACTTTTGTTTGTTTGTTTATTTGTTTGTTTGTTTAACGGGGTGAGCCAGGGACGCTGTGCCGAGGCAGGGATAGAATGCCAGGCAGAGGAGGCAGGGAAGGTGCTGGGTTCAGTGGGAACCTCAGCACCTTGTCAGGCTGCTCTGAGCCCTGCCACAGCTCTGGGTGCTGGGAGCTGCTCCTCCCCATTGCTGGGGATGGCGGAGCTGCCTGTGCAGCTGTGTGGACTCGGTTCCAGCCATGCAGTGCAGGTGGGCTCACATGGGATGTACTTCCCTGCTTGGGCTCCCTTGGCAGGGAGCTGGGAGCGTGGATCTCTCCCAGCAAGTGGCACTGACCATCTCCTACCCCCTCCTCACTCTCTCCTAGAGATCACCTGTAGCACTGTGGGCCCATAACCCTGGCATCTGGGACAGCCTTGACACACATTTTCCAGTTACCACACAGCTTTTGCTGCACCTAAATTGAGTTTAGTGAGAGGAGACACCTCTCACCAGTGGTGTTACCAACCACCAGTCCAAGATGAGGTGGACTTCTAAGAGTGGAGTCCCATCCTGGCTGTCTTTATCCAGACAACTCATTTGCTGCCCCAAACAAGAGTTTTCACCTCCTTGTGCAGCTGAACAACCTCCTCTGATTGCCCCTTCCATCCCCATGCATCCCACTGGGAAACTTCTGTGACTGCTGGGAAATTAAGGTGAGAAGACACAGAAGGAGTTTCAAGTCACACTTCCAGCCATAGCTGCCTAGAAGAATCATTCTAGGACCAAGCAGACTTAGGCTGGAAAAAATATGTCACTTTTACTGAGTGACTTTTTTGACTAACAGCCAAACTTTGAAAAATATTAGCAAGGGTAAAACATTAAGTGACAGAACAAGGACACTTTAGATGAAGGATGTTGTTCTCCCTTTAATTTACTCCCCTCTACAGCCCTGCAAAGATCTCAGCAGAGTAAGTGTCCTTATTGATGGATACACTATCCTTGTTAAGATGGGACAATATACTTATTTACAGCTTTCATCATTGTCATGAAGGCACAAAGCAAACAGATATAACTAATGAAGATTTAGCTGTTACATAATGTCTTTGCCAACTCCATGCAGAAGTCTGGGTAAAAATCCTGGAAATAAATCTTTTTATGAGGGTATTTCTAATGAATTTATACATGAAGGGATGTATTTGTAGTTTGTATTAGGACTCTGGGTATTGCTTTTCTGGAAAGATGTCTCAGGTTTGGAGTACAAATGAAATGATGGTCTGAGAAACACCAAGGAAGTGAAAGTCACATCAGCCCTATGATCCAAGCTGTGAATTAGCACATTCATGGTGATGCTCCATGATAAAGGTGGTGTGAGCTGGACCATTGGTACCACTAGCAAGATGCAGACACAGCAATAGTGGATCAACAGGCAGAAGAGATGGAGGGGTTGCAGTAAAAGCTTCTTCACTTCATTTGGTCCTCTTTAGCTGCCTCTGAAGATGAGAACAGCCATGGGGGAGCAACTCACAGTGGCTGGAACAGTAATGCTCCACAGCAAAGCAGGAGAAGTAGTGCCTCACAGCTCCTGCAGGAGCATGCTTGGTACTACAGGAACAAGCAGGTTTCTTTGACGTTCTCCCAAAATCCATGGTCTGAGAATCACAAGGAGCTTAGTCCAAGTTTTGCCACTTACCAAGTGGTGAAACTGGAGGTGGTTCATGAGTATCTGGTAAGCTCCTGTGGAGCAGGGAGTAGGATGTTACTCTCTGTTTCCCACTATAACCTCACACAGTCCTTTTACAGATCACACAGTGGGGAAGAAAACTGTCCTTGCTGAATGAGTCTGTGCTCTCCCAAAAAGCACTCCCTAAACACAACTAGAAAGCAATCTGAGATATTTAAATTTTCACTTTGTGACCCTTTCAAA